AAAAAAAAAAAAACATGGTGTTTTCACCCCCCCCCCCCCCCCCCCCATCTAAAAAACATCTGGAAGTCTTACAAACAAAGAAGGAGAATCTGTGTAATAGCAGTCCAAGAATCTCAAAACTGCATACAACAAAATGCTTTTTTCAAAACAAGTCACATAATTTGTTAATTTTCATACAAGTGATTTTTAAGCCCGTATAAGACCAAACTGAGGGTTAAGCAAGCCAACAGAATCCTATTAAGAGTCGTCGTTCCTCGTGACTACATTCCTAAAGTGATTCCACGTAGCTTTGCGGATCCAAAAAAGCTTAAAGACACATGAACATATCCTGGCCTCTAAGACCATCCTAAAACATCCTGTTAATTTTAGATTCATTTCGTGAATCTCCTATTACACAACATTCCAGCTTCCACTGGGGAAAACACACAGCTCACCATTCCACACACAAACACAACTATCTTTATGCCCGTGTTATAACACAAGCCAAAAGCATAGAGGATACAGGGAGATTTTTCTGTTAACATTAGCTATACACTGTTAGATTGTCATTTTGTTACAATATTAGTTTAATAAATCACCCCGTGAGGTTCATGAAAAAGACTCAAAGTAGTGATCTTTTTACCTACCCTTTTTTCAGTATGCAAATACACAGGATTAGACAAAAAAGCTAACTTATATTTATAAGATGCAAGGGAATTCCTGTTCATATAATCTATTCCATACATAAAATTTAGTTTGGGAAGGTAAGGACGAAGGTGGTGATTTTACCGTGTCACCTTTCAGATAATCAGGACAAATGAACAAGTGACAATCTCTCTGAAAGAAATACAATTAAATTAATTCAGAACTATGGTACATACAGCACTGGGGGAAAAGGTGTGGGAGAATATTAACTAAGAGCATTCAAATGAATGAACGAATGATTCAATCACACACTTTAGCAGCAAACAGTACTCTGTTGCGCTCCCTATTGATCAGAGGAACACATGCAGGCTCTGGCCTAAACCAGGCCAGCTCACTGGATCACACTGTATTTGTTCTTTGAAAAGAGAGAGAGAGAGATAGAAATCACCTCATCCAAAAAAAAGAGAGAAACATATAACAGATAACATAAATCAACACGAGATGAAGCGAATGGTTAAAGTAGAAGAAAAATCTGAGTTGAGTGTTAATCTCAGAAAGCATTCACTCATCACTCTCTCAGCAGTGCAGATGGGTGATCGAGCACTATAGCTAAAGCCTTATATATTTGTGTCAAAAGCCTAAATATCCCCATTAAAACCCACATAATTTTAAGCACAATAAACATGCAATCTCACACATCCATTCAGACCATATGCACTAACAACCAAACACACACATAAACGCACTTCATAGGGCTTGTCCCAGTTCTGAGTGCTTCTTAACAATTACTTTTTTCCAGCAAGTGCAGGAGATCCTTTAAAATGCTCCTAGACCAACTTAAAACAAATCAAGAAGCTGCAGTAGTGCAGAACACTGTAGAGTCCTAGTGTTGATGATAAGAGAGAGAATCAGGGTTGGCGCATCAGGTAACAGAATCACACACAAAATTTGCACTATGGAAATAGTTTGGTGGATCAAACATGCATCCTCTTACACACACACACACACACACACACACACAACGCAAACCTTTGATTTCTCATAAGACTCACTCATTCTCTCACACACAATCACGCACACAATTTCAGCTTAGTTTAAGTTCAAGCGGTTTCCTCTGAAAATAAAAATAAAAACAAAGGGCGAAAATAAAAGACCCACCCCACCAGAAAAAGAAAAACAGTAGTACTGAGAGAACATAACGATTACTGTCATCCGTGCTGTGAGATTTACAAAAAAGCTTACTGTACTGTGCTGTGAGCCCATATCATTTACCCGTTTCACTTAAAAAGTAACAATACAAAAAGTTATATTTTGTTTAAAAAAGGAAAAAAACAAAGACGTGAAAGGAAAGTAGATGAGAGGCAGATGTGTTGGGCTTTAGCGGTTGGAGAGGAAACAAAAGCAGGCAGGGCAATAAAGGTGTGCCTTTTTTTCTTTTCTTTTTTTATAAACTTAAAACTAAAGCTGCATTTGATACAGGCTTTTCTTTGTACAAGACAATTGCACTTCACAGAAATAAAAGCTGAACTAGACAAACACACAAGGAAATGTGAATCAAATTAATTACACCAAAAAAAAAAAAAGATTTAAATGGAAATAAGTGTTGGATTTTTTTAAGAGGGTGATGTTAAGGATAAAAGGATTTGGGAAAAGAGTGATTCGGGACAGAAGAGTATGCAGAAAATTTCCAGAAGGTACCATTGCCTAGCACTGAGAGGGAACGTTATGTGAACAAGGGGAGGGAGCCCTCATTCCCTTCCTCTTCTTCCACCGAACAGTCCAGAGCAGCTGAGCTGGGCTGTGGTAGGTTCTTGTGCAGGTTCTGTAGTAGTTGAGGGTTCTTGTGCAGGGTTCTGGTGCCGGGTCCTGTAGGAAAGGTTGTTGTGCAGGGTTCTGAAGGGTTGTAAACTCTGTGCAGTGTTTAAAGGGGCGGGGCTACCACATGTCATCCGTGGATGCAGAGTCCTTGAATGGAGAGAGGAGGAGAGCAGCTTGTGAGATCCCACCAAGCTCCAACTGCCAACCACTCAGGAAAAAGCATGTTTGTGTGAGACACAGTATGAAACACAGGAGAAGATAAATCAGGAATGATTCTAGGAAATGTTGATGGAAATGATGGAGGGATCCAAATCTTGGGTTTAAATGGCCAAACTGATACGCTGATTGCAATTGACAGAAATTACAGCACTTGATGATGCTTGTGTGCCAACAGGCTATTTGGAGATTTTGTGGTGCATCAATCACTTGGTTAGAGTGGCGAACTCCAGAGACAAAATTGCCGTAAGTATGAACAGACTTGAGACACGCTACAGATAAACATGTAGAACGCAGGATTAGTTATTTAAAAATGTAATAATTAAGCTAGTATCATTGTAATGCTGAAAGGTAGGCAATTATTACATAAATTTAGGGCTATAAATTACATAGTTATGATTTGCGAGGATTTCACTGATTATATAAACTACCATTCAAAAGTTTAAAAGTTTTTTTGTTTTTTTTTAAAGACATTGCTCACCAAGGCTGTATTTATTTCATCATTTATTTGATCATTTGAAAATACAGTAAAACAGTAACATTACCACATATTATTAAAAATTTAAAATAAATGTTTTCTATTTTACATTGTAATTCATTCCTGTGATGGTGAAGCTGAATTTTCAGCAGCCTTTACTCTAGTCTTGAGTGTCTCATGATCCTTCAGAAATCATTCTAATATGCTGATTTGATGCTCAAGAAACATTTCTTATTACTATCTATGTTGAAAACAGTTGTAATGCTTAACATTTTTGTGGAAACTATACTTTTGTCAGGATTCTTTGACTAACAGAAAGTTTTTAACAATGAGAATGTCTGTCTTTATTTATTAATTTTAAATCTAGCCGATTCCAAACTTTTGGATGGTAGTGTTTAGGTATGTAAATACTGCTGTTTATAACTATTACTTGAGAGGATGCTTCTTTGGATTGGGGAAAAACATACTACACTGAATACGGAAAAAAGAATAAAAGCGACTGAGATATCAGTTTTGGCTATATCACAGTGCCCTATATTAATTATATACATATTTGGCTCGAGTGATCCAAAAGACAGATTTCTTGTGGTTCTATTGTAATAGTTTCCCAAATTCAGATTTGCTCAGGTATTGGACTAAAACTGCTGTGAGTGTATTCCAATTCTAAGACAATTCAAATACAAGTCCTGTATTTGGAATACAAGCATTAAAGTCCCAACAGCCTCTCTGGGCCTATTTTACACCAGTTCACAGGGACCCTCGTTATTTTGTAGAACTGTAAACTGTTTAAAAAAAATAAAATAAAAACCTACAGGTTCCTGTAAGGGTGTACCCAACCCCAGTGATCTATGAGACTGCACCTAAAAGCAAAGCACCACCCCCAAAAGAAAGAAAAATATCACCAATGGATCAAACAGCTTAAGCCCATCACTATGCACACCAACCAATCAGGGTTCACACTTAGCAGGCTGAACTGCCCCTTATAAACATATATATGACATGAACAAATTATTAAATAAATATGGAAGAGAGGAAAATGACAGACTGAAAATGAATCGTTCCATTGTTATTTTGGGAAGGCTTGAACTGGTTTGTAAAAATACATGAACTGGAAGAACAGCCTGAGGTGTGGCAGGTCAAGGTTGGTAGTCATGAAAAGCATCAGAATCAAGTGCTGAGTGCTGAAGTAAAGAGCACCCAAGGTGCCTGATTTTCAGTCAAGTCTATATGAAACAAAAACGGATATACACAATCAGTTTGTTAAAAACAAATAAATCATAAATCACAATGCATTTGCCACTAGGGATGCCAAAAGTATCTTTAGAAAGTCCATATTTGGGGAAAAAATTAAAATTAAAATACCAGTCTTTCTATGGCACTGGTAGTACCAAGTGCCAACTCACTTTTGTAAACGATGCTTTAAAATGCCACTATCATAAAGAGCAATCACACTTCATGGTAAAATGCAGCTAGGTTTATAAACATTCAAATGCACTTCTTGGTCAAAATGCTTGCCTAGTTTTATTATTCCTATTGTTTGTCATTTACTTTGAAGTAATTACTTTTAAAAACTTTAAAAATGACACTTGATTACATGTCACTGTTTTAATTGTAAATGCTAATATTTTTATTATGTTTATTCTTTTAAATAAAGTGTGTTTGGTAACATTTATTTTTTCTGTGGTATTGAAATTTTTGAGAATTTGAGAATTACTGGTATTGACTATTGAAATTTAGTACCATGACAACCCTATACAGTACCATCACATCTTATGTAATTAAGTTATTTTCAGATCAAGAACTGTACTGAGTCAAGAGAGCTATAATCATCCAATCAATCCATTACAAATTATTCAATCAACATTTAATTTAAGTGTTTAAGTTTTTCTTTTAAATATTAAATCGGTTTGCTCAACAAATTTGAGGGGCTCCACCCTGCACTCAACCAAAACTCTTTCCAAAGCACAGCTCAGCCTATCCAGCACTGTCAGATGAGAGGGGATAATATGGAATTGGAATAGGATGGAAACACGCACAAATGAAAAAACAAAACTCTGGAACACTTAAGGTGGCAAATAACAAAATTGTGCAATGCAACTTAATTCTAGAACAAAACAAAAAAATCTTGCAAGCAAACATCCCAGCATTTATACACACACACACATCAATTACACTCCGTCTATGACAAAAACAGAGACCGGTATAATCTACTGAGTGAAGAAAGAAAGGTGAAGGAAACATCACCTCTGTAGCAAAACTTACTGAGCTGCCTCATTAAAAGCAAAATGGAACTTCATATGTGAATCTTCAAGTACAGCAACTAGAGAGCTGTTGGTGCAGACCCAAGTCTCTTTCATGTCTTAACTGACCCCAAACTTTTGAATGATATTGTGCTATTGAAAGGTTCTGTGAGAATTACCCACCAATGGTTCACAAAATGTTGGATGGACAGATCACTAGGTTTTGGAACTTGAAGTAAAGAGAGAAAGCGAGATTGTGTGGTACTCACTTGCTGGCCAGCTCTCCTCCAGGTGGTAGGTTGGGGATGCTCTCAGATGCTAACATGCGCATCACATGTACCAGGTCGGGCACACCTTCATCCCCCTGCCTCTTCAGGATCTCTGTTATATCAACAACAATTCAGAGCAATCAAGTTTGGCCCAGCAGAATTACTGATTCCATTTAATAGCAGAAGGCTTGTAAAGGTTAGCTCATACCTTCTACTCGGCTCTCTAGGTATTTATCAAGCTCCGCTTCCCTTTTGACAGCTTCAGGGGAAACCTTCGGTGCACTAACAAAACACACCAACACAACACTCATGTTGTCACGACTTCCCTGTCCAAACACAGAAGAAGGGAGGGGTTCATCAAAATTTAAACCAAATCAAAATTTTATATCAATGAAACACTGTGGAAAAATGCGAGAGATAAGATTTAGAATGGGAAGAATTGTGTTATGAACACTCTCTCAGTATAGAAATGAAAAACAAAACAAAAAACACTTGTGTTCAATACAGCTAGGTCACATATGTTCATTGTATACTACTGAAGTAGATAATGCTATTAAAAACGTATATATATTTAAAAACAAAAACATCTAATCATTTTCCATTACTTATTACATTTGTTTGCATCACATTAAACTTCCTTCATTTTGCTTATCTTAAATAAATAAAAAAAAACTGAGATGCATCAACAAAAGATCAATAAAAGTCCAATAAATTTCAGTTACAAAAGTTTGAGGTCTGTAAGATTTTTTTGTTTTTGAAATAAGTCTCTTATGCTTACTAAGGCTGCATTTATTTGATTAAAAATACAGTACAGTTTTAAATAACGGTTTTCTATTTTAATGTATTTATTTATTCCTGTGATGGTAAAGCTGACATTTCACCCGCAATTACTCCAGTCTTCAGCATAACATGATCATATGCTGATTTGGTGCTCAAGAAACATTTCTAATTTTCATCAATGTTGAAAACATTGCTGCTTGACATTTTAATGGAAACTGAGGGTTTTTTTTTTCAGGATGCATTGATGAACAGTAAGTTCGTAAGGACAGCATTTATTTGAAATACTTTTATGTGACCAATTGCCATTTTTTGTAGAAAGTCTTTACTGTCAATTTAATGCGTCCTTGCTGAATAAAGATTAAAAAATAAATAAAAATGTACTGACCCCAAACTTTTGAACTGTACTTGAAACTGATTGCATAAAATACTTAGCAAACTATCAACAAAGTGTGATTTATCTCCTTTCACTGTATTTTTAATAGACAAAATAATTCATCTGACTGGCTGGTAAAAGTCTGTTTACACTCACCTTATACAAACAGGTATCTACAATTTCATTGCAGACCCTCTCCAGATCGTCAGTCACCTCCAGTCGTGAACGAACAAAATCGCACAGCTCCTCATTGGCCATCACATCCCAAATCCCATCACAAGCAAGAACAATAAACTCATCCTCCGCCTCCGACCGCTCGATAGCATACACCTCGGGCTCCGGCGACACCAGCTGCTCCGTGGGACCCTTACCATGCACACACTTATAGTCAAAGTCCCCCAGAGCCCTGGACACCGCCAGGGACCCATTGACGCGCTGGATCATCACAGATCCACCAGCGTTCTGGATCCTCTCCTTCTCCAAGGGGTTGCTGGGTTTGTGGTCCTGTGTGAAGAAGTGCACAGCCCCTCCGCGGCTCAGCAAACCCCGCGAGTCTCCGCAGTTGATAAAGTAGATGTGGCGGGGCGAGATCATCACACCGACAGCCGTCGAGCCGCTGCGGTCGGCACCACCGTGCTTCTTCTCCGAGATCTGCCGCATGTGATCGTCGATCTGCAGGAAACCAGTACGGATTCCAGATTTCACGCTATCCACGCTGGGCTCCACGGCTGGACCTCCTCCTCCGCCTCCACCCTGGAAGTCAGGGTTGCTGGTGATGTGCTCCAGGAGGTGCTCGCAGCAGTAACGTGCCACCTGCGATCCTGCATGCCCGTCGTAAACAGCAAAGAACGACCAGGGGTCCAAGCCATTGGGCAGACCAATGACAGCGGTATGCGCATCCTCCATCTCTACACGCCAGCCCTGCATGCTGCTCAGGCCGTAGTGCAGGCTGTTGCCTTCACCATGGGCATTGTGTTTCTCCATCTTTGGCTTGTCCAGGAATGCACCCATCTTTGCTGCTTAGGAATCTAGATCAGAAAAGTTTGAGAATGATGAGCAACATAACAGCACCAAACTAGTTGCTATTCGCATCCCAACTGGGCCAGATATATGGCCGCACGATTCATTGAAAAATTAATTCTGTATAGGGTAGTCATGGTACCAAATTTCAGCAGTCAATACAAGCAAAATTTCACAATTCTCAAATACCTTTAATTTCGATTACCTACTAACTGTTATTAAGCACTTCTTTATATAATTACCACTACTTTAACTACTACTAATAATAATAATTCACTGTCTTTTTCAGATAACATCAACAATAATATATATAACCACAAAATTTGTGGCCAAATTGTGCATCTCTACAAACAAGCACAGCAAACCTGAAGCTTTTTTCAAATCACATTTTAAAATGCAGTTGCTATTTTTATTACAAATTAGATTTACCAAGACATATGCAGTGGTATATGTTTAAACACGTGTTTAAAGGGTAGCGCAATGTAGCCAATCACAGACTCAGCTGTTTTTTTTTCTAGAACACAATGGCCAATCAGAGGTTAAGTTAGAATCTACTCACCGCAGTGCTGAAATTGCGTGCTCACGAATCCTCTCATTTTAACACATGAAGTGTAGACATTGTGAAAGATTCATTGTGCAAACATTTATTGTGTTATAACAGAGCTTTATGAGATAGAGATTAACTGAGATGTCAGCTTTTAGTGATAATAAAGGAAGCGCTGCTCGCATTCTGCCATGCCAAACCATGCACGCAGCAGCCCATGCTTGCTTTTCTGTTAAAAATAACAGTGGTTTGTTAATGTTGATGCTTAGCCTAAATAACAAATATTTTATCGGGAGTGTTTATGCTGGGATGTTGTGGAGCTTAGGAGATATTACAGAACCATTTCATGTAAATTTCTTCGATGTACTGAAAAAAATCTATATAGATTACTTTTATGCAGGCTTTTGCGGGCGGAAGCGGGACCAGATAAGATATATTTCTGCGGGAGCGGGCGGGCGTGGGACAGAATCTTGCGGGAACGGGCGGGAGCGGGACTGAAAAATCCGTCCC